CCTTCCTTTGCCGCAACGTGCAGGAACTTAGAAACACCAAGTACCATATATATGTTCGGCAGCGCACCTTATACAAAACTGATGACTCAACAAGTACAAGTTGCTCACGGCCTAATCGGGACCGTTTGACACGTATATATCTCGAATGAACCATGTACCATATATATGCATGGCATTTCAGTGCCTACGTGCATATTTATGTTCTTCGTATATCTTGATGATGTTTCTAAAGTATATATTCCTCCAATAAATATTAAGAAAAATACATGGACAACTTAAAAAATGATTTAAAGAACACATATTTGCACGCTACGACCGTCAAAACAAGTAAACAACATACATAGTACATGGAACTTTTGGCGTTTCCGAGGTGTAGGACTGATCAGCCGTCATGCTGCTCTGTTGCAGCATTCACACATTGCAGGCGTTCAATGGTTGACGGTATGTGTTTCCGGCCAGTTCCAGGAACGGATGTAAGGCTGTGTTTGGTTGGGGCGGGAGAGGGACGAGGTGGATTTGTCCTAGTGTTTGATTCGGAGATAGGTGGGATAGAGCCGCCCCAACAGGGAATATTATTCAAGATTCGAGCACTAAGTCATCCCTCCGAAAGTGAGGTATGCGCTCGTCTCTTGGCAACGATGTTTTGTCTCTCTCTGTGTGCCTTCCTCTTCCACGGCCACGGCGTGGCCGGCTGGCCTGGGCACGGCCCAAGCGCCACCCTTGCCCAGCATACGGTTGGCCCCCGACGAGTGAAGTGGGTGGCTTAACGACTCCAGTGCAGACGACCTCGCCTGGCCCTTGCGAGGCGACCACGGACTGGGCGAGTAGGTCAGGCGACGGCAGCGGCGCAGTGGCCCCGGCCATGGGCGAGCGGTGGCGGCACGAGTGACCTCAGCCATTGGCGAGCTTGGCCCCAACAACGGCGCGGACTCCGGATGGAGCTCTGGCAGCGCCTGCTCTAGGCAGCATTGGATGAGCGGCGGGCGAGATCCATACGATCGTCGAGTGGTGGAGGAAGATGTAGAGCTTGGTGCAAAGTCCTTGGTGTGGTCGGGGCGGACTCCATGGCATGGTCGGTGATGGAAGGAAGACGAAGGCGGTCGGTGATGGAAGGAAGAAGATGAGCTAGAGAGGATGACACGTGGGCCCCATCTAAACAGATGCCTAACAGATCACCAACGGCGACATATCATGTGTCATCCTTATCGCTCTAACCAAACAGAGAACAATGACGTCACCATCCCCCAACCAAACGCAAAGCTGGAACCATTCCATCACCTAAAACGGGAATAGATCCATCCCATCCCTCTTATCATAAAACCAAACACATCGTAAATGGATGTGTCCACGAACATGTAGCAAACCCGCAAAAATTAAGTCTATTTACAGGTTCACAAACAAACCAAACTTGTATAACTAGACTTTCATGTAACAAGTGATATGTGTTGTTTAGACTTTTTAAGCTCTCTGATCTTCTTGAATACCAGATATCATTCAGTTCTAGCATTTTGGGAGGCACTAAGATAGTGTTTGGATGCAAGGATGAGCTGTGACGGGATGGGACAGCTCCGGGACGAGCAGTGTTTGATTGGGAGGCCACCAAGGGCGAGAACGTCCCACATGTGAATATTCGCCTAAGATGCGGGCTCGCCTCACACCCCAAAATCAAGCGGACTGGGGCATCCCCGGTGGGACGAGTGCCGTGCGCGCATGAGAAGAACGGGAAAGAAGACGAGCGGGGGCTTGCCAGAGTTGAAGAACAAGTGGGGCCCCACCAGAGTTGCTGGAGTTGGGGAAGAAGTGGGCGAGCGCACGGGAAGAGTTCGATTCGAGAAGAACAAGACAGGGAGTAGGCGAGTGAGATACCGACGGCGGTGGCAAGTGATCCGCGAGAGTGGTGGGGGTGAGAAGGCGTCGTCACTGCCGTCACGTGGGTCTGCTCTACCGGTGCCCCCGTTGTGGCCGCGCAGGTGAGCTCTAGCCCCATTGCCGCGCGGGCTACCTCTGCCACTGTCGTTGTAGAGGAGGCACAAGGCGCGACTGTGTGGTGGGCTTCGGATCGGGGACAAAGGAGATAGGGGGAGGAAGAAAAATGAAAAAAATAAAAATAAAAACTAACAAATGGGCTCCACATGTCGTAGCTGATTCCACTTTTGATGCCTCTAGACCAAACAAAAAATAGGTTGATCCTATCCCTTCTCAACCCTACGTTGTACTATGTAATTCTAAAAAACAGAAAATTACATTTGTATTGTCCCACAAACCAGAGTCAGGACTATCCGGCTCCTCTTTGTCTCCCAACCAAACACTATCTAAGGGGCTAGTTGCCACGTTTCCCAAAGACCATATATCCAGGCATTCCATAAGTAAAGTGGATAATAGGAAGAGTTTATTTATCCCTTCCTAGCATCACAACATTCTCAGGGTGTTGTAGGGTACCACGGCCTTTTTTGAAAATAGAAAGGGATTCCATTACTCGGATGCTGCACTATTGGCAACCACAATCGTCTTACACAAAGAGAGGATCCACAAAGGGATTATCATCCTCCCCGCACTCACATCCCATTGCAGCTAGTGCATAAGCAGTCCTATTACATGATCTAGGGACAGCACTAATTTGAAACGAAATAAAATTTAGACGTGCTAGATCCTTGAATATTTTTTGATCAGCCTTCCTGCCATCGATAGACTCCATTCTTCCGCTTGCTTCACTAGGAGAGCATCTGTTTCAACCAGTAACCTTGAGAGCTTTGAGAGAAGACCAAAGGTCATTTCCATGACTAATGGTTGTTCTAACATGCCTAGCGTAACTTTGTAGCACTCGAGCACTCCACAATGGTAATTTTTCATATTTCAACTACATTCATGAACTATTCACGTCATTGTCCGACCAATCATCATATATCAAACACTTCTAGCCAAGAGATTAGCCATCCCTTAGCGTGCGCGTTGGTAAGAATACCTAAGCTTATCTTCAACTTCCATCTCTTCCCCCCCCCCCGCTTACCTCGCCCGGTGCCTAGGCCACCGATGACCTCTCCACTCACGGTCCACCCTCCTACTTCTTTCTCGTCCTTCCCTAATTCGAATCAGTTACTTCACTAGCGACCCTCACCCCCGCTATTGGCTCCGTCCAATCGGATATCCTCCAACGTCCGCTCCGTGGCGCCCCCACTAGGGGCGAATGTACACTATATTACCGTGGTCCGTTGATTCCAACATTTTTGTTAACCCCTTGTATATTAAGGCTTTATTTAGTTCATAACCCTAACAAAACATCATGTTACATCAGCTTCTCTGATGATGACCCCAATGATTCCATTCTCTAGATTCGCCGAATGTACACTATGTTACCTCTGGTCACTTTTCTCGTGCCCCTCAACCCACCACCACCGTTGGGCCAAAAGCCGATGCCGATCCTATCTCCCATCTAATTATGATGGAAACCCCTCCTCGTGAAAAACCAAACCTTAACATTGAATCCTCACCGCAGTTGCCTCATCCACTGTCCTAGCCTGCGGCAACCTTGTCGTTAGCCGCTCCGTCCAATGTCCGCCACTTTGGTTCCACGTGACTAAAGTTTAGTCAATGTCATATCGGATGTTTAGATACTAATTAGGAGTATTAAATATAAACTAATTATAAAACTAATTACATAAATGAAGACTAATTCATAAGACGAATCTATTAAGGGCATGTTCGGTTACCTCGGAATGAAGACCTGGAACGATTCCTGGCCGGAACGATTGTCTAATTTGTATAACATTGATCGGCAGGAATAATTTTTGGCCTCAATCCAGACTAACTGAACAGGCCCTAAGCCTAATTAGTCTATAATTAGCGAATGTGATGCTACCGTAAACATATTTTAACTATGGATTTATTAGGCTTAATAAATTCGTCTCACGGTTTAGTTACGGTTTATGCAATTAATTTTATAATTACCTCCTATTTAGTTCTTCTAATTAACATTCAAATATTCGATGTGACGAGGAACACCCCTGATGGCGGCGCTCTCTCTTGTGTGTCCCTGCTAGAGGCGACGTACGTGCGCTAAACAAAGGTTGTGCCTAGAGCAGGTGGTTTAATATATATAACGGTCGCTCGAAAGCCCTAAAAATGTTAAAGAACACGTCTTGTGTGACCTAAAACTGGCTGGAAACACGGGCCACTACGCACTGACATCTGCAATATATGTGAACGCTGCAGCCGAGCAGCATGAGAGTAAAAATCCAAAAGTTGCGTGTCCTATGTATGTTGTTCTAACGGAAGCATGCAAAGATACGTTTATAAATCGTTTTTAAGGTGTCGCTGTGTTTCCTACTTCCTTCAACCATTTCAAAACTGAGCTATCGTGTCAAACTTGCTTCGAACTCAGCGTGGATCGGATAAGCACTACACTACCTGCCAAGACACACAACAAAAGCCATGGCATGCGTGAGTTGTCAGTTTCCAGCACTCTCGGTGGCAGCTTGGGGCACAGGCGCACAGCCAAAGTGCGTAATGGCCTTGTGTGCGTTTATCTCTGTGTAGTGTGTATGGCTGTCCCTGTTCAGCCAAAGTGCGTAATGGCCTTGTGTGCGTTTATCTCTGTGTAGTGTGTATGGCTGTCCCTGTTCCCGCGATGAGAGAAGAACTCAGTATAGTGTGCTACTCAATTGTTGGGCGGTGATGTATCCGTACCTTGCAGCACACAATTGATGAATGAATGAACTGACGACTTTTCGGTTCTTTTGCAGCACGAGTTGAACTTCTCTACGTGCCGGCCCGTGCCTACCGCTGCACTGATAGATAGTGCGCAGGCAGCTAGATTGGTGATTGATCGGTTGCTGTAACCATTTGGTTCACTCCTATGTTTGACCTATACATGTAATCCACATGTGTAATAATAATGTTTCCTCAGGTAAACCGGCAGGAGCGTACTAGTCGTAGTATAAGTGGACCGGGAGTGTTGCCGCTTCACTCGTCGAGCTGCATCGTGAAGTATAAGCGTAGAAGCCATGGGAGAAGAGAATAAGCAACGTCGAGATGGCCATGGCGGAAAGAACAAGTACGCCGTGGCGTGCTCCATTATCGGTTCCATCATCTCCATCCTCATGGGCTACGGTAATGAACATGGATGCATGCATCAACTTACTCTCATATATATATAATTCCGGTGCACGCATGCATATTATGCCTATATTATATTTATCGCAGACACGGGCGTCATGAGCGGCGCGATGCTGTTCATCAAGGAGGACCTCAAGACCAACGACACGCAGGTCCAGGTCCTCGCCGGCATCCTCAACGTCTGCGCCCTCGTCGGCTCCCTCACGGCCGGCCGCGTTTCCGACTGGATCGGCCGCCGCCGCACCATCTCCCTCGCGGCCTGCATCTTCCTCGCGGGGTCAGTCCTCATGGGACTCTCGCCTAACTTCGGTACGCTCCTGGCAGGACGCTGCGTGGCCGGCGTCGGCGTCGGATACGCGCTCATGATCGCGCCCGTCTATGCGGTTGAGATTTCGTCCGCACAGATCCGCGGCTCCGTCACCTCGCTGCCCGAGATCTGCATCAGTTTCGGCATCCTGATTGGGTATGTGGCCAACTACCTGCTAGCCAAGCTGCCGCTGGTCTACGGCTGGCGCGCCATGCTGGGGCTCGGCGCGCTACCGAGCGCCGTGCTCGCAGTCAGCGTGCTCGCGATGCCGGAGTCGCCCCGGTGGCTCGTCATGCAGGGCCGCGTCGAGCAGGCCCTCGCCGTGCTCAGGCGCGTGTCCGACACTGCGGACGAGGCCGACGTGCGGCTCGCGGAGATCAAGACCGCGGCGGGGCTGGCGGCAGATGACGCCGCCGCCGAAGACGAAGGCGCACCCCGCCAAACGAGAGGTGTCGTCGTCGGCAAGGGCGTGTGGAAGGAGATGTTCCTGCACCCAACGCCCCCCGTCCGGCGTATCCTCGTCGCGGCCTTCGGAGTCCACTTCTTCCAGCACCTCACGGGAATCGAGGCCGTGGTCCTATACAGCCCTCGCATCTTTAAGGCAGCCGGCATCGCCACTCGCAGAGACATCCTTGCAGCGACCATCGGCGTGGGCGTCACCAAGACGGTGTTCATCATGACAGCCATCCTGCTAGTCGACCGCATCGGGCGGAGGCCGCTCTACCTCTCGAGCCTGGCGGGCATCATCGCCTCGCTTGCCTGCCTCGGTCTTGGCCTCACCGTCGTGGAGCGCTCGGCGCCGCGCCACTCGCCGACGTGGGCTGTGGTGCTGTCCATCGCAACGGTGTTCACCTTCATAGCGTCCTTCTCCGTCGGCGTGGGGCCCATCACGTGGGCCTACAGCTCGGAGGTGTACCCGCTCCGGCTGCGCGCGCAGGGCGCCAGCGTCGGCGTGGCCATCAACCGCGTCATGAACGCCGGCGTCTCTATGACGTTCGTGTCGCTGTACAAGGCGGTGACCATCGGCGGTGCCTTCTTCCTGTTCGCGGGGCTGGCCGTGCTGGCGGCCACGTTCTTCTACTTCCTCTGCCCGGAGACGCAGGGCCGGCCACTGGAGGAGATCGAGGAGGTGTTCAGCCGTGGGTGGTGCACGCGGCTCCCGTCATCGGAGGCAGCTGTCGTGGAGCTTCCAGTGTCCAACGTCACCGACGGCAACGGCAAAGCGCGGCCGTGATGCGATAGCAACAAATATGGATGAATCATATATTCATGCTACATGTGTTTGTAAATGTCAACATTTCTCAACTAGGAGAAAATATTCCCGTAGCATCTCCAATGGTTTCCAAAATAATAAGATTTTTGCTATTTGTCTGTCAATATATTTTTGTTGTTGAAATCTGTTGAATTTTGAACCATTGGATTTGCTTTTAAGACTAGTACAAGGCGCGCCCCTGTGCGCGTTGGTAGGCACAGGCAAGTTCACATTCGAAAATATATATTGAATCTTTCAATACAGAACCAACTGAGTTAAGAGCCAAGTAAACACGCACGTAGTTGGTAACATTACATAGACGACATAGTAGATTAAGTGTAGCTGAAGTAGCGACATAATAAGTAAACACGAAGTGGCACGACGAAGTTTTTAAACAGACTGTCAGGAGCCGTTGCCATGTACTAGGACTGAAACGGCAAGGCAATCACGGACGTGTCTGATGTGATAAATATAACCTCGCCCATCTGGCAAAGCGACAAAGCAGTAATCTTGATCCATGTTGTCACTCTTTGTAGGAGCAAAGGCAATCAATCAAGAAATAATAGGGGTGGAATTTCGTAATCATGCTCTTGTCCCTTCCCCCCTTTGCGTGTTTATTCAAAGATAACTGCATTCACAATTCCTTCGTAATAGTTTCCAAGAGATACAGATCAACAAAGCATAAAAAAGGGGAAAAAACGTGCCATACCTGGCCTTAGTTATTACTGGAGGTACGTTGGAACAGTATCTGTTGCCCACACATTCTGCCAACTCATCTTTCAGACCGGCCATTGTCCGCTGGTATTCCCTGGCAATGAAGAACATGTGTGCAGAGCAGCAAACACAGTTCCAGACAGCATCTTTCAATTTTCGAGGTAGAAGTAATGATACTGGTAGTACATCGAGACCTGAAAAATATAAGAATTGCATATTTTTTATATCGATATATAGGGTTCCATGCCCAATAGATCCCTCGATGCAATAACTTAGTGAACATTGAACAACAATGAAATAGACAGTTTCAATATTTCTCATGGAAAACCAGAAAAGTGCTAGGCTAATACATTTCACTGCTCACGATAATGATGGGTCAGCCAACCAACGTGGTGTGTATTGCTTTGCAAACCTGAATATGGAAAGATGTAGCTTAAGTGTTCATCCTTCCATCTGTGTCAACTGCTCATTAGAGCATGGCATAGGTAAGTCAGGATTTTCATACATTCCATTGCAATGCTCATTATGTTTACACATCTGCATCTTTCATATAATTTAAAAAAAATAAACATACCAATATCAAGCAATCGGAAAAACTAAGAACATGGTATGCGGTGATTTTCTAGGGTCTCTAGAAGTGTAACTCAGTCCTGTATGGGAAAGTCCTATGTGGGCTAAGTCGTTACAGTGGTAAAATCAATCGACTATGAAAAGACAACATATGCAGCGAAGGAAAGAACAAGGATCTACCACTGAATATAGAGGCGAATTGCAGTGCTCTAATTTTCTAACCATGGTTATAGGAGCAGAACAAGGCTCTACCACTGAATATAGAGGCGAATTTCAGTGCTCAATGGACCTAAAATCAATGAGCCTTCGTCGACAGATTTAAGAAAGAAGGATGAACAATATCTGAGGACATGGGAGTAACAACACACTCTGACGAATGTTTTAACATTCACACTTGACTTGTCGAGTAACATTAAAGTTCAAGCATGGGGGAGGAAGGTTGACTCCTCTAAAGATGATCCAACAATGCTCTTCCTCCTCTCAAGCTCTCGTCGCTCTGGCATGCTGGTTTGCAATCCCTCTATTCACTATTGCTTTGTTTCTATAAGTTTGAATGATTTTACTTAATATATAAAATCAATCCTCAAGGGAAGAAGTAATGGTGAACAATAAAGGCACATCACTAAAAACATGGGATAAATGTTCTATGCTAATGTTCAAACCAACTTTTCTGTGGCATAGAATATGGTCTTCAGCTCTATGACAAGACTACCCTTGTTATTATTTGTACATCCCTTCGGGTATGTGTTGTCCACTAATCTTTTGCAGGAATGAAACAATGAATGGAGCAGAAGGTCCAATGAAATGCCTAGATCCATAAAAGAAAGAACAAAAAGATGGCATGATAAGAGAATGAGAAATGAGTGCAATATAGGAGACAAGATGCTCATGAACAGCTCAAGCAAGGAAAGCATCAAAATAGGAAGAAAGGATCACCACAACCATCTACCTTCGTTACATGGTGTTATCACGCTCCAATGATGAAGGTAACATCTTAAGGTAAGTGGTCATTATTTAGAAAGCTTTCCTTTGATCATGGTATTCACATAAATAAAGAAACAAACATGTTTGAGTTACAACTTTGCTTGATCCAACCTGAATAACTCAACATGTCTTGTTTTTTAAACTTGATCATAGCACTACTTTCTTGATCCCATAGTCTTAACCAAATGAGCTAAAATGTTGCATATCTTATCTTTGGACGATGATAGTCATAATTATGTAAAGTTTGACACATTATGTAAAGATGGACAATCCTTCCATAGGTTAAGCAAGTCCACTCTTTTTGTCAAATGTATTCAAATGCCACATTTCTCCTCATCCTTCTGATCTTATCACCCATGTTATAAGAATGAATGCACATAACATCAACCTTATCATGATTCAATGTGCCTAAGGCTAGAGAAGAATAAATAAAATTTTGGTTTTGTTGGTGTTTTCCACCAATAGAGCCCATGCACTTGATCTCTACCTTGTCTTTATGAGCAGAATACACTTCGAGCAAAGTGTGGGGGAGTTTATCCACCAAATTTTACAAGTGAAAGTTCTGATCTGGCAATAATGATGCACACGAGATGTCATCAGCTTCTACTACTAATACCTGAACAAGGAGGGAGAACAAGTCAAGAAAGATAAACCTGTCAAACCAAAATCAAATTCAAGACCAAGACGGGTTTGGCAGAAGAAGGTGGCACCACCATTGGAAGCGCCACTAATGTGGGCACCACCACAAGAATCCTCATCCTCAAGAGCGAACCGAGGGAGGACGCATGTCTTTCTCTGTCTAAGGGTATCATGACTCTCAGGAGGCCTACCACCGCTTCGGCAATAGACTCGCAACCATTGAAGGGACAAATGCTGCCATACAAGGTACGTTACATAATCATATAACAAAATCAAAATTGGGAGGTTGTGTTCTAGCACCTCCACGTTCGGACACCTCGTTGAACAACCACGACAACAACTAGCTTGGGAGAGAAGGCATCCCCCGTGTATCTAGATAAGTATTACTTTCTCTTTGTGTCGGGTTCATAAACCCAAGGTCCCTCGAAGACCGGCTTCTACGCCAGGGCTCGGCCCAGGAAAACAACATGTAGTTCATGGGCTAGCCCAAGAGCCTAAGACACGACGGGCCGGAGGGACAGTCCGGTCGCCGACCGTAAGGTCTACCCAAAAACAGGCGCTCGCTCATCAACCTCTCCGGCCCACCTCTTCGACCGGAGCATTCGCTTTGGGCATCAGCCGCCTCCGGGCGGTCTCTCCGATCAGAAAGGCCTGGCCCAAAACACCGCTTCCTACTCTAACCCCGCATCTCCGACCGGGGACCCCATAGGAAGCCTGCTTTCCACTCTTCTCTGACTGGCGCGGCCAGGGCCGACTGGGGCCATCCGACCGGGGACACCTGCTCGGAAGGGACCAGGGGCAAACGGAGAAGGCAGTGCACAAAGTCAAACCACGATACCGGGACCATACCCTATACGCCTGTGGGAACAGTGCTCCTCAACCGCCCTGACACAAACAGTATTGTAGGCGCCGACATTTGTGTCTATAGTATTGTAGGCGCCATTGGGCTCCCACACGGCAAAAAGCCTCCCACACACCTCTAGGCATCGATAGTGGGCGCCAGGGTTCACCATACCTGGTACATAGGGTAGGGCTCCTCACATACCAATAGTATTTTGCAAGTACCGACATCCACCCTTCCTAACGAAGCCAACGCAACCTTCCATGTGCACCTGACATTCTACAGTGGCATCAACAGTATTGTGGGTGCCTACCATCATCGCTACCCTCGTCGACGTGGGCAACAAGGCTTAGAAACATCCGTACTCTCTTCCTCTCACCTGTAAAGCCATCCCCTTTATCTATAAAAAGGGGATGATGTGGCAGAACCTCCTAAATTATAGGGCCCACGTGCACTTGTCACTGTCCAACGACCCTTGACATCTATGCATATGTTCCCGGTAACTTAAGAAGACTATCGGGTGTCCTCGGAGAACCCCGAATCATCCACGATTTCTGAGCAGGATCACATTACAGAGTCATTGCAGTATTACAACATTTATTCAAATATCTACATCAGAGTAAAATAGCGGAAGTCTTACAATAACTTAGTTTACAAAATAGTAGTTTCAAACCTTACAACCAAGTTCGATAATTATTACAAAACATAGTAGTGGAGTGGCATTATAACATAATACAAAACACACAATTAGATTGCCCTGTCCAAGGGCCACACATTTACTTCTCGTCATCGGATCGAACAACCGTCATGCAACACGACCCAAAACAGACATGCTCATGAGGCTCACCTGCAACAAGGGTCAACGAACCCTGAGTACAAAAGTACTCAACAAGACTTAACCGAAATAAAAACTAAGAAGACTCAGGAATGCAGGCTCAGGGATTCAAGGTATGGCTTTAGCAATAATCAAAGTTCTTTTGCGTAAAAGCTCTTTAACAAAATTCTTTATTTCAACATATAAAACTTTATAAGAACCACATATGAATCTGCCATGATCCGTAATGAGATCATGAACTTCATATCAAACTCTTTCTCAAACCTTACTCGAGTTCCAGTTATTAACTACGATGATGAACAGAGAGTTGAGTCTCCATAACCGAGGAGCAACGACGATTTGAACCGATTAAAACCCAGCTGGGAATTCCAGACCACACGACATATGCAGGTCCCCGAC